TGTAGGAAAAATGTGAGGTTCCAAGTAGAGACATTTTTTAAAACAGGAGTTTTTGAAATCAAAATAAATCTTTTATTTATGTGTACGACCAACCCGCACTGGGCATGCGCCGGAAAACTGGCAGTAGGATAAGCTCCTCCACTATCTTTTCTTATTTCAAACCATTCCTAGATGTATGCGTTTTGTACTTCAACGCACATCCTGTTAAGTTAGGCGGACCGGGTAAAGTTGTCGAGTTTGATGAGACAGCTTTACTTCCTAGAAAAAATGAGAGAGGCTTGTTCCGCATCAGTAGTGTTTTACAGGCATTGAAAGAAGGAGCAATAAGTTCTTTTTTGCTGCAGTTGAGCACAGAAGTGTTGCTATCTTTGTGCCGCTTGTCCGGCAGTATACCGAGTACTACTATTATGTTGGGTAAGTGAGCAGCTTACAACGGTATTCAAGACCTGTCCGAACGATATCAGCATCTTACGGTAAATCACAAGTTGCACTTTACTGATTCTTTCAGTGGTTCCTGCACAAGCACCATTAAGTTTCTTTGGCAAAATTTTATAAAGGGCATAAGAAACGGTGCGGAATCTTGCAAAACCTTTTGGACGGCTATCTCGTACAGCTTATGCGGAAGAAGCTGTTTAAGAAGGACTAGCTTACCATCTGTGGTCCCAAATTTCTGAGTTTTATCCTGCCTCAGCTCTTCCTCGAAAAGCATAGGTTCTGAGGAACTTCTTGGATTGCCGATGCACTTTTTATTACAATCCAGTTTTTAAAAAGTCTTTCTGACAAAGGACGCTATTGGAAAACTTGAACTGCTTTTTGTGCCTTCAAAACACAAATCAGCAACTCCCAATGAGTCGGAAATCGCTCAAATGAACCACTTTGGTTTAGCAGTACCCGACCGCCTCCGCGCGGGAAAATAAAAGACCCTATAACTCTAGTCAAACTATTTAGGTGTCACATTCTTTAATGGTTTGACAGTGTATAGCAGCCTACATGCATCCTTACTATTTTTCTATGAAGTTTAGTCGCAAACGTTTGAGCCACCGTAGCTTTCCGCGCAAAGCCGTCGACACTTGAGTGGTCACATTTATAAAAGGAATCGCTTAGCTGGCTTAGTTTAGTCACGCTGCGTGTCCGCAGGCAGAGGAACTGAATATTGTTCGGCTGCTGCTAGCTGATACAAAGTGCTACTTGCTAGCATCTTACTTGGGCTGGTGGTCCCATCTCTGCTTCGGTGGGCAAGGTTTCCTCAAAAGCTTTATGACTGCTTTATGTCTTTTACTGTTTTAAACAAGATAATCAATGTAACACAACCAGTGCGGTTAAGGAGCTTACTTCTACAAGATTTCCATCAATTTACTGAACTATTATATAATCAGCTAGGCTGCTTTAACAGTTAACTCTGATTATTCGATGAACCGCCTTATAACAATGTAGCTTACTCAAAAACTATTTTCCCATTTTATACGTAGATTACACCATCGTTTCAAGAGTTTGATAGTACTACTTTTAGAGTTATCTTAAAAATACTTACATCTATCCAGTCCTTAATGCAGTCATAATGAAACTTGTCATCACAAGGGATGGCTGCTGCAGTTTCGGCGCTCATTTCTTTGAAACATATTGAACAGTCGCCAAGACTCGCCATAGCTTTAACAATACGCAGCAGCGACTGGAAAGAAAGTTTTGATAGCGAGATAAGCAAGCACTCACTGCTTGACTAATTTATTTACATAAGTTTTACGTGGCGTGCTGATAACGTACAGAAAGCGTCAAAAAGTTTATTTCAATCAATATCTCTCGTTGTATCTCAATATCTAGACATAATTATTTGCTTCTGTAACCTTCAAATTTTGATAAGTTTACAAAGGGAATCGCAAAAAAACAGAAACAGATTATGCAGTAATTTAAAAAGAGTAAAAAAATTCTCATAAACCGAGTACAAAATTTGTAGCTGAAAATTAAAGTTTTGAAAGGAAGAAATCTATATCACCATTTAAAGTAAAAGGCGTTGCTTTTCTTGCAGAAATAAAGAGGAAATTTGAGAGAAACGTGAGAACGGTTTTTCGCTTTCTAAAGCTTTGATTAACAGCGCTGTTTCTCAAAATTCTCAAAATTCAAAGAAAACCTCTCACAGGTATTTAGCAATGTCTTTTACATCCTACAACTGTCTTTCCCAGCTTCCTTACAGCAGTAGTTTCACTCGCATATCTCGTTGTTTTATTCTTTTTTACGTTTTGATGGTTTTTACTTACCGCTTAAAATTTTTGACTGAGAAGTGGAAGAACAAGACCAAAACTCAACTTTCTGCAACCATAGTTTTTTCATACCTGTGCATGCTTTCTTTAATAACATACTTTTTAATTTTATGTAAACTTTCAGTTTAGTCCTTCCTGTTCTCAAAACTGCATCTTCCTATGCTCTTCTTACTGTGCTCTCAACTGTATAGTGTAATGTATCATGTTCAACATACCTAACATTCATTTTTTTTTTAAATATATGCTAAAAAACACAAAGCAGACAACTTCATTACGGGAACAACATAGTGCATTCTTACATATCAGTAATGCACTTTCAAAAAACGGCATCAAAGTGAGTGGAATAACAGACGAAAATTCCACGTTTAAATGTACAGCATATAAACAATAAGACTAGTGAACTTTTAATTTGAGAATTCTCTGGTCGTATTAGATAGTTACAGCAAATAGTTACATTAAGGCTTAACTTAACTACCAATTAAGCACCGTGACAACGCGTATGAAGCGTAATGTAGTGAATAGTAACAGCGTAAACCTTCCCAAGCACTTCCCCAAAGGACTGAGCTTTATCACAGTACCTGAATTCTTCGCTATCTAATATCTAAAACTGACCCAGCTTAACAGAACCAATTTCTTTCCATGCGTTATAGTGCACTTACAGTGTCACTTGTATAACTAAAATATTGCATAACACAAACAGTGCCAAAAACGTCCAAATTTTCAAGAAAAAGTACAGCTAAAAGTAAAAAAAGTAGAAATTTCGAGTAATCCAGGCTGAAACTCGTTCTTAAGTGGGTGCTGTGCCTTAAAAATAGTATAATAATGCGAAAGAAGTGGAACTTATGTTACACTCGTGAAAAGAATGCATCAAGCGCTGTCAATTGTAGTGCTGCGTGATATAAAATTTGAGATAGTGATTGACAGTTAAGTTCGCCACAAACGATTGCTATTTGTTGTGCGTATAACTCATAGTTAGAAAGACAAGTTATTCATTTTATTCTTCTATTCAGACAAAGAAGCTTCATTAGCATGATCTATGATACCTTATCAAGTATTGTGCATCAGTAGGACAACGTGCAACTTGCGAAGTTGGCAGGTCGACTAAGTAAGGAGGCATAATTTGGTGATAAACTGTTCTACTTTGCAAACCAATATTTTACGGTCCATAACAGGTCTTGAAAACTCAAGTTTTTTTTAAAAATCCTGAAAAAAAAATAAGAGGATGAGTTGGTTCATTTGGCTTTTTTTAACTAAAAACTACTGTGTAGCTTTAAGCCTATAAAACGCATGAACGCTGAAGTGTAACTCAAAGGTTACAGCGGTGTCTTCACTGCCACAGACGTTTCAAAAATTCGTTTGCGTGAAAAAACTTAACAGCATTTGGTGAACTTTTGAAAAGGTTACGATTTCTAACGAAACATGTAGTAAGGTTGTTCTCAAAATTGTATACTGTAGAAGATAGAGAGAAGAGTTTGTAAATAAGAATCCATCGACTTAAAATATAGAATGAACATAATATAGAAGTGAATAATATAGTCGCAAAATATTGGTGAAAATTGTCGACTTATTAGAATTAAGGTGAAAAGTTTCGGTTGCACTCTCTTGTTTAACTACAGTTATCACTCGAAATTTTATTGTTTATAAATTTTGAGTAAATTTTGTTCCAACAGCGAAGCTCTCTTACTTCTCAATCACTTCACGTCGCTACGGCTAGAAGAAAGAAGCAACACCCTCTTTCTGTCATAACTTTGAAAATGTGACTTGCTCTTTGATGTTGCATGCAAAACTTATCAAAAAAGACTGCGTGTTTTGAGTTGTTGATCCAGGCGAGATGAACGGAATATGTATTGTTCTTTACTGTAGGAAAATACTGAGAACACATCGTGAGCACATATGCAACAAAACTGAATTTAAAGCCTCTGCAAAACTGAAAAAACTCCGCTTGAGTTTTTATAAATTAATGTTGTTTTTGACCGCCTTAACAACATGGTGTTTTCAGACCATGTCGTCGCAGTTTTAATAAAACTTCTTCCTGCGCATTCCTGCAAATCTTGACAGCTATTGACCGCATCGACTCAGTTTTTTGAGAATATTTTTGAACTTCTCGAATGGTGAACAACATTGGGAAAATTTCGTCACTTCTTTTACCGTAACCTTCGAGTGTTACGCCGTTAGTGATATCTGTCCTGACTTCATTTGCTTACGTTGATGACCTCAAACTGCCACTTGAAGTTGATTATACGAAGTAATTGTTGTTGCGTACAATCAATGCATTATTGTAGAAGTTCAGATACTCTGTTTCAAGACTTGGTTTAATAAAGTAATGTAAACTTAATGGTCTTACATAATAGGCCAAAATCGCTTTTAGAAGCTCCTATAGCAACGACTGTTTTGAGAGTACTGCAGAAAAAAGAAAAGAAGGCCTAACAAAGCGGCTATCGACCGACAGTAAATATCTGCTTTCTTTACGCTGGCCATTTTCTCACAAACCGTCTCTTTTCAAATGATTTGAGTTGCAATGAACACTCACTTGCAACTGATGAGTTGTATAAATTGTTGGTGATGTTAAATAGTGATACCTAATCGTAAATCGTGGTCTCCAAAGCTTCTCATTTTTCTGTCGACTTACGAACCTTATTTTTCCGTTTACTCTTAGTATGTTAGTTTTTCAAATTTTGAATCAGACGGCATTAGTTTACTTTTACGCACAAAATCAAGCACCTTTCGTTGCGATCATTCTATAGCGTACTAGAAATGGGCTGGTATAATCTATCTTTCTGTGCTCAGACGATGTGAACTTTTCAATCTATCTCGATAGCGAGCCTAGCATTTTCGGTAGCCAATGTGACTAACTATTCCACCTTATACAAATAGACATCTTTTTAATGTTTTACTTGTTGGCCTCCTGCCTTCTTCTATTCATTATATCTTTTGTAATGTACCTGGGCTATAAGAGACTTCAGAATAGTCGCGCTTTTCACAAATTTTGATATTGACAAGCTTCGAAATATGGTATAAAGCCAATATGTGAACTGGTAAATGTGAATTTCCTTTAATTTTTGAGAACCCATTATCTACTTCCCACAGGTAATTTTCTTCCTTTTTCATATTCTACTTCTTGTTCATTGATTGGAATACTTTTTATGGTGTTTGCTGGAAAATTAAAGTAATGGAAGATGTCTTTCTAAAAGATGATCGTGTCAGTTATTTGACCCTTGTAAATTTTTGCCATGCCGAACCGTTATTTTTGTAATATACTGCAGTCTTACTTACGGTTTTGGCACGGACTTCAAAGAAACTAAGTCCTCTTAGTCACTGAGACGTTTAATCCGATTTCGCGACTCATTTACTATGCAAACTATTTCTGGACTTTAGCTTGTTTTTAATTCTTCCTCTGTTTTTTTCACAGACGGTGATTGTTGACCACCTTTGTTGGCTTAATAATAAACAAATTGAAGCCTCCTTCCCCCATTTTAAATCCTCTAATTCTTCCAGTACTAGTCCTCTCCACATTATATCTGCTGAATTAGACTTCAAAGCGACGTAATGTACTCAAACTTTAGCCGTTTGATATCTAAGAACGTGATTCTTATAATTTTAAATTCCGTTCTTTCATTTTCACTTCAAAGTAATGTCAGCATCCATCTTGCGCCTGTCGTACTCTGAGTTGGCACAGTCCTTAAACCGCAGTTCTTCTGGCGCAAACTTAGTGCTAAAATTCCAACCAAAGCTGCTAATAAGTCTCTTCGAGGTTGTAAGTCTCTTAAATGATGTGAGTTTTGTCTTTCTAAAGAGTATTTGATTAGCCATTACCCCATGTCTTCAAGCCTTAAATAAACCACAGCTTCAAATATGTTTACAAAAAGATAAAACTCCAGCGTTTCTTCAAAAAGCAGCTCTAAATTTAGAACAATCTCGATTACTTCTCACGTTTTACTAGCTTCTTCTGCTCTCTTCTGAGGATCATTTGATAATTCTTAGTTCTAAGCAAGTTTTTTTGCCAAGTTTCTTGAAACAGTAATTGTCAAGACATCGAACTTTGGACCAATCATACCAAAAAAGATCAAGAAGGAAAGCAACAACTTTTAAGACTGACCTTTTAGGAACTTTTATTCTATGGCTCAACTCTATATAATTGACCTCCTTCCTAATCCCCAAGTTAGCTCGAGAACTGAGACCACTATTTCTCAGTGATGATCTTGTTCTGAGACTTTCTCCTTGACTCCTCCAGTATTACAAAAAGTCTCATGTCTTTATCAGCATTTTATAAAAACCTTTTTTCAATTCAAACGTCAGGACTGACAATTACTGAAATCATTTTAAGTTAAAATGGCGTTGTCAAATTGTGCGCTTCTTACAAAAAACTTCAAAAAATCGGGCTTTTTATTTACGCACGTTTATTACACATTATAAGAATGAGCTTACCACCATCCAAAACAACACTTCACAGTACCTGAATATTAAATACGTTGTCTTCTCAAGAAGTCAATGATCTCAGTCCAGGAAAAACCCGCCATTTTCTTGCGGACTTCTTAATTACCGATTTGTAGCAAGATTTTACTGATTTTATTCAACAAAATTTAATTGCCATTTTTGAATTTGAAAAAATTCCTTCTTATGAGAAATAAGAATTATACAGTTTCAGGTAACATAATAGACCCTCTGAACAAGCAGTCACGCATACTTAGGCTTTTCTTTCTGCTTAAGCGTCAAAAACTGTACGCTGCTTTCTGTTTTTTGCTAGTGTTAGAACTGCAAGGTATAGAGGGTTGCAAACAGAACAGCTTTATTTCTTCGTAGTTATTTTACATCGTAATTACACCACCTCATAATAGCTGATTCTCTAAAACATGATTACATTGCTAAGGCACCCCTCGAGTTCCCCCTTAGTCTGCAGTTCGAGAAGTTTAATTCGTCAAAGAAAGGTCTAAAATTTAATGACAATTTTAAAACTAATTCTTTTCAGACTATATTGCTAAATATCGCCTCGAAGAACTACAAGATACAGTGTTTGAGACGTATATCCCAACCATTTTGTTGCCTTTATCACGATGAGAATTCGACCAAATAGATCCCAAAGATTTGCACATCAGTGTGTTTCCTGTGTATTTGTTCGCAGCCTTCAAACGATTTCCTTAACGACCACAATTGGTCTAGCTGTGGTCTCAATCCAGAAGTTAACTACTTGACAGACTTGACGAAGTGACATAATCCGCGCCTACCTGCGACTGCAGATGCTCATGCCCTACTTTGTGGGCTGTTAAAACAAGCTTTGTTGCTTGTCTTTCTACTAAGTTCGCTATTTTAACTTTGCGAGGTATTGTACTGCGTTCACCGTCAGCAATTTGCTTCTTAGTTTCAGTCCTTCACCTGCAGTTGTTGCTTTTCCCTCTTTATCTTCAAATGGCGTTATGATGAAAAAAGTGATTTTGATGATGGCATTAGGCCCAGTCGTTCCGACACAGTGCTGTCTAATTAAGACTTTTCACTCGTTGCGTCGAAACACAGCAACCTCCTCTTATTGTTGTATTTCTTCAAGGTCAAGGATAACTGCATTTTTGCATTATAATAAAACTTCTCCAAAATGTAGTTCGACTTTGTAAAAGAGTGTTTGCTGGATGTTTTATCAAATTTCGATGTGCAACTACCTTTTTACCTTCACTTTCAGGCACCTTTTGATGTCTGGACGATGGCTTAACACACAAGAATAAACGGTGAGTTCTTTGACATATGATGTGTCAAATATTTGCCATCTTGCATCTTTCTGTTTTGTAATTTGAGAGGAGATATCAAAAAAATTTTTTCTCCGTCTTTCAAACCCTCCCTTTAAGTTTTTTTACTTAGCACTACTAAACTTTGTGAAGTCACCCACATAAACAATATTTTAATGGTCCAGCCCGAGTGCTTGATCTTAACCTACATACTTTAATGTTTCTACGCTTTTATGGAAGCAATGCCTTATTCAGAGGTTACAGCAGGTAACCGGCTGGTCACTGTTCATCTTCTTCCTCTCTAACTAACCGGCTTGTTGGATTCCTGAAGTTTTTTGTCACCCTTATAGCTTTCATTGATCATCCATGGCTGTAGTTTTTGCTCAGTGGCCAGAAAGATCCGCTT